AGAAGTAACAGGCTTAATCTGCAGCAAGAGAGATTTAGGTGAGATATTAGGAAAAACTTTCCAACTCTCAGGGTAGCGAAGCTCTGGACCAGGCTTCCCGGGGGGCTGTGGAGTCCCCGTCACTGGAGGTTTTTAAGAACAGGTTGAACAAACATCTGCCAGGGATGGTCTGGGCTCACTTGGTCCCGCCTCAGCACGGAGGGCTGGACTTGACCTCGAGGTCCCTTCCATCCCGTTTCTATGACGTTAGTGAACGACTGAGGAATACTGATGCGAACAGGAGGCAGGAAACATTTCTGCAGAAGAAATTCAGCCTCCAGCCCTGTCAGGTTCCTGCCCTACAACAGCTTTTCCATCGATTGCTACATCCCTCTCTGGAGCCTCCCACAAGGCCCGTTAGCACCAGTCAGCGCACAATGGGCACAAGATGCTGGGTCAGCACCATGGCACAGACCTCTACTGCCTGGACTAGAGCAGTAACTCCATCAGCAGGCAGCAGTGGTAGACTGGTGTCCTCAGCGAGCAAAGTCATGTGGGGAGGGACATAACACACAGTTACTTTACAACTACTCACAGCTCTACCATGTGGCTCCTTAAAACTGCAGGGGGAAGGGCGTGGCCTGGTTTCAAATAATGAAATGTACAAAGTAACCCACCACCATGTCCTGCTCCTGCCTTCTCTTCTGCTGTCACTTTCAATTTCGGTCACATCACGAGTTGGCATGACGTGGGTGACTCCAGCTCGACAAATTCCTCTTTCATTACTGCTGTGAGAGGGATTTATTTCAGGAGTGGGCCGGACTAGTATGATGGTCACAGACGCTCGCTCTTCATCAGCGGAAATTCAACAAAGGTGGTCAGGATCGTTATCCCGATTTTACAGATGGGGAAACTGAGGCAGGGGATGTCTGGGTTGCCAGGTACATTATTGACTCGCTGCATAGCCTGCGCTGTCACTTCAGCTCTCTAGGTCTTGCTTTCTCGTGTTAACACACCCACATAAGCTGCATCACTCTCAACAACCGGCAGCTGTCCTGTGAGATCTCAGGAGTCAGCCTGGCCTGAAATAAATCCACTCCCCCGCCTGGCAAAACACTGATCACTCTGACTGGGGTTCACACTAGCACAGGCGTGGAGGGGGCTCTCCAGAAGAGAGACGGATGGATGGCTCTCTTGCGTCACTTTATGACGGCATGGACTCGGAGCTGAATCTCTTCCTCATTTCTGGTCCTGGGGTATTTTGTAGTTACGATTCTCTCCCCCAATTCCCTGGATTACAACAGCAGCTACTTCCCCAGCTACCAGAAACACTTCCCCACATCCTATGACATTGCCACAGCCTCCCCCAGACTCCCCTGCTGTAGGTGTTAGGTGGGGAGCATGACACAGGGAGAGTGATGCAAGAGTCTCTATCATTCACTGTCCCATGAGCAAAGGGTTTCCCTTTTTTTAAACCCCCCCACCACGCCCTTGTAAATGTTCCAAACCCAGTCAACCCTAGTGGAAATCGGCTCCGAGAACTGGACACCCCTCTGGGGCCCTCTAAACCACCCCTTGCTGCTGTGGCACGATGGAGTTCCTCAGTGAGTGTGTTCCACCACTTTGTTCAAAGTGCTTTTTAAGTGTCCCAAGCGCTGGGGTTCCCATCCCCTTGCTGGGGGAGACGATCCCAGCTCACTGCCTGGACAATATCGCTGATAGCCACGGCCCTTTTGGGGCTCGTCCCACACACACGCTTTAGGAGACATACAGGTATAACGAGCTCATTCATTCATACCCCCACCCCCACCCTCCCCACTTATCAGCATTTATGGGAAACCTGTTCTCCAAACCCTGCTCCCTTCCCGTCAGGCAAAGCCGGCTGCTTGGCACTGAGCTGCCGGGACTGTCCCCGAGCCACTGCAGCAGCAGCCCAAAGCGGAAGCCCTTCCAAAGCAGGGCAAATATTTGCAAAACTGGCGAGGTTTGGGCTGGTGGCAAGATGTGGGTGTGCCGGGGCGGTCAGAACAGTTTGCTTTGCTGCAACGATAATGGGTCACAAAAGGGGATGCCAGGCAGGGCGCCGTAGAAAGCTGCCACCCTAGAGTGGCAGAGCTTCTGCCAATAGCCCAGGGCAAATGCCTTAGGGGAAGCCATAAAAACCCACAATGGACCTGCCTGTGCAACTCTGGGCCATCCACAGGAACTGTTTGCTCCCACCAAGTCCTAAAACAGGAGTGACACGTCTCGTTCCCCTGCCTCCTGCCTCTCAAGACGCTACGCTGAGCCATTCCTGTCTAATTTAAAAGGTGCTGAAGATAAATCTCCTGCAGCAGGGAGTTGCACAGGTTAATTGTACATTACCCAAGAGCAGCGCCCGTTACTCTTGTATCACAGGAAGAAGAGTGGCCGGGGGCAGGGGAAGGTTCGTTCCCATCCCACCCCCCAGGCTCCAGGAATGACTATGTTATCATTACAGCCACATGCCAATGAGCCTTATCACCCATTTCGCAGGCCTCTCCTCCCTTCCCTACGTCAGCTGGCAGGAGTCTTGCTCAACCGCCCCGAGCACCCCAACCACTTGAAAGCTGCTGCAGGTGATTTACGAGCCCCCTTTATTGCTGCTCCCTCCCCTTCTGAAAAAAACCGAGGGTGGGGTGAGCCGGTCCACGTTACATAACGAGGTTACATCAGCCCCGGGCTGGATATCGCTGCTCTCTGAAACCGCTTGGCGAAGCCAGCGGACAACGGCCCAGCCTTGTTGCTACACACAGTGGAGCTGGCTCGGCTGGGAAGCCTGCGTCCCAACTCTCCCTTTCTCGTTCCTTGTCAACTACCCGGACACACTGTCTTTTCCCTGACATCGCACAATGACTGTGGGCTGGCGGGCGGCTCCATGTGACAGCCAAACAGGAAGGAAATGCTCATCAGGCTTCTAGGACATGGTGCTCCCTTACCCAATCCCACAGGAGCCCAGAGAGCTTCTCAAGGACGTTCTTGAGCTGACGCTGCAGGCGGCCACGCTAAGGCCAATGCAGAATCCCAGGCGATGGCAAGACGCCCACTGGTCTCAAAGGCAGCTGTTCTGCAAGAGCAGTCGCACTGTCTCCCTAAGCACAAACAGCCACTCCCGGCTAGAAGTGGGCAAACCTCCCGCGGATTGGTGCACTCTGGGGGCATGCTGCCTGCTTGCTGCTAGGGGTCGCAGGCGTGGAGCAGAGCAGGGACTGTGGCGAAAGCAAACCGTGCTGGTGAGAAGCCCCTTGGTCCCCGCTCCCCGCAATCTCTCTGCTCGGCGAGGCCGATTCCGAGATAGGTGTTGAATTTCCCATGCAGGGCTGCGTCAGGGGGATGTTCTGTTCCAGGCGGTGCTGTCTCAGCAACGGCTCACGGCCTGAATCAGACACGTGCGTGAGTCACATGGGGTGTTCAGCAAGGAATCCCACTGGACGTTTCCCGGCAGGAATTTCTGTACATTCTTTTCAATGGAATTGCTTAGCGGTGAATCCGCTTTCCAGGCATGTTGCATGGACATTGCTTTGCATGGAAAGGTCCTGACAGCGGGTTCCAGAACAGGGGTCCATCTGCTCAACTATGGTACAACCCCATGGCTGCTGAGGACAAACTAGAACGACAGACCCAGGCAAAGGGACGAATTCGGAGACTCCACTCATGGCACGGAGGTCTTTGGCCTGGTTCACACCAGCTGTGACCAGGAGTGGAGATGATTAGGAAAGGAGCTTACAAGAGTCAGGTCATGCCCTGAGCTAGCCCCTAGCTACTCCTCCCAAAGATGACAATGCTGGTGAGTGCCGGAACGGCCACCTGTATAGGGAGAGTCTCTCGCTGCAAATCTGCCATCTGTCTGACCAGCAAATGGCTGCAGAGAGCAAGGAGGAGTCCATCAACCTCCGCCCATTGGGTAACATGGCCCAGCCAGCCAGGTGCTAACTTTTCACCTCCCCACTCAACAAGCAGTGGCTAGCCAGTTTCAGAGCCCGGATACTAGTGAGAGGGACCAGCGGCCTGACGCAGTAAGACAGGATTTCTGGGTAAAGGGCCAGTTAACACAGAGATTTGTAGAAATTGGCCAGAGGGGAATCTAACAGACCCTCCCCCAGCCATCAGCGTTTGCACTGGGGCAGCCACTAGGTGTAGACAAGGATTGGCACAATTTGCACCACAGCAGCTCACTCCAGTTTCAAGCAGGGGTCAATGGTGTCTTTAGCCGTACTAGGGGTCTACACCGGATCAGCTGCACATGAGCCGACCACCGCTGGCTGGAATCGGGCTGAGAGCCCCGTGTCGGGATAGACACACGGCAAGCTCCCCCTTGCCCTTGAACCTAGGGCACACGGGAGAAGGGCAGCTGGGATGGATCAGAGCCTGGGGACACAGGGAACTTAAGGGGAAGGGCCCAGTTACAGAGATGCTAAAAGGGAAAGCCAAGAGTTAATCCTAAAGGCGCCCCTCAGCGACCCTTCTTTTCACTTTCCTGTCTCGAGCAAAACACGTGAGCGAAGAAAAGACAAACCAGCAAAAACTCAGCAAAGCCAACCGCTCCCACTCAGCCTGTCAGCGATAAGATAATACTCAGCACCCTCGCAATCTGACCAAGCCCAGGGCTGGGCGATTAAAAGGAGCCAGGCGCTATTTACTCCAGGCAAACGACTTGCACAGAATCAAAGCTCTGTTCTCACAGCAGAACTGCCAAGCGAGTGCTGTAACAAAAGCAACTTACAATTACTCGCCCGCATGAGCCACTGTCACACTCACTCATTCACAGGCGTTTCCTAAGATAGCTCAGTCCAGCGCCCCCAACTGCTACCGCGAGTCAGCTGGACCCTGACCCCAGACCTTCCAGCAACACGACATGCGGTGGTTATCAGAAGCGCTCTCCCCAGGGAGGCTCACATTCCATTTCAGAGAGTGCTCTGGCTTCCAGGCACTTGTCAGAGCTGAGGGGAAGTCTGTTTATATCCCTAGGAGCTGGGAGCTCTACCTCACCCTATGCATAGATCTTGTTCTCTCCTTAGAGAGGTATTTTTATTTTTAAAATCGATCTTGTATGTAAGAGTCATGAACCGCAGATCTGAAAGCAACAGGAATGGATAAAATATAAATCTGTTAGGCACAAAACAGTCCAAAGGGAATTACAGATGATACAGATTGAGATAATGTTGCTGCCTCTGGGGTGGAACGCAGGGCAAGACTTCAGCAAGGGTAAGAATCCTTTCTTCTTGCAAGCAATGTTGGTTTCCTCTGGCTGGGGACGGCAAGCTCCGGACTCCCTTACATTCAGATTGCAGTAAATCATTCTACCCCGCTTTCCCGTCGCGATGTATTCCACCAGGAGAGTGGTGGTTTTAGGCTGGCTTCATGAACAGCTGGAAAAAGCAGGCAAGCCCCGCAGCACAATAAGCCTGCGTTATAGGAAGGAGGAGAAAAGCACCAGGCTGAACGGAGAAAGAAGGAGCATTTGAAAGTTGTAATGTGCGCTCGCTCTTCGGTTTACCGGATCTCAGAATCGCTAGTTCCGCCCTCTGCTTGGCGATGGGAGAGAAATGCCACAGAAAGCAATCTGCTCTCAGGGGTTTATTGTGGGTTTATTCAAGCCCAGGAGAAGGCTCATTAGACATGGTACAAGTCAGTCGTAGCACACGACAGGCGTCTTACACGGTGTCAGAAATACACTGGCTGGCAGAAGGGGAATGAGCGTTTCTACCTATGAAGGCGTGAGGGCAAATTCCATGCTTGAAATTCCCCTTCTGGCGTCACATGGGATGAACCAGCATTGCCCGCAGACTTGAACTCAGCTTGTGCCACGTGGCAGAAGCGAGTTTGGTTCATCTCTGCCCAGGCTCAGTGCAGGCAGGTACTGGGGAGCCGCAGGGATATCTGGATTGATTGGCAGCACCTGCACGGGACAGGCCTGGGGCAGGGACTGGAGCGGGTTGGGCTGAGGGCCATCGGCAGAACTGCGTAGGGGAAGCAGACACAGCAACTGGCACCTCTTCCCCCTGCGACAGCGGTGCCGTCTCTGCCCTTGCACTGTTCTAGCTGCTTAGCTTAGCAAAACGTAGGAGACGGGGTAAATCTAGCACGGATCCTGTTCCGAGCTGTATTCCCACAGGAACCCGGGCATTCCCTGCCGACCCACGGGCAGGCGACGTTACGCGACGGAGCTAATCGGAACAGGAGGGAAGCATGAATGGTCTGCTGCAATGTTTTGCTTGCAGAGCCACGGCGGCTGCAACGTTGAACTTTGAAGACTCCCAAACCAGCAGAGGATCGCGCCCGAGAAGGCTACAGAAGAAACCACCACAACGCCCCCCTTTTTTATCTAGCAATAATAGTTATGCAGCCCCTATAGATTTAAAAATACCACTTCAGAAACCCCTGGATCTGTAAGTCACAGCAGGTAGCACTTTGCTACAGACCAGATGTCGTGCGGCTGCTTGTCAGTTGGGTGTCTGGAGATGAAGGCCCCGGGCACATTTGTTTCAGAGTCACTGGTCCATGGATGAAGCGGATAAAGCTGCACGCGCTGGAGGCAGGAAGGCGTCGAGCAGCCGCGGGGTCCCCGTAGCCATTCTTCAGCTCCAGTTCCCGTGTGCAGGATGTTTTGCTCAACAGGAGTCCAGGACTCTGTCACAACTCCGCAGACCCCAACAGCAAGTGGAGAAATATACCAGCTACGGGGCCCCCAGGGAAACCATCAGTCTCCCGAGACGAGACACCACGTCTTGGCACAAAGGCTATTAGGAAAGCCCCGAGCACCTGGGCTTTATGAGAATAAAAAACTAGGTCTTAAAACATTAGGAAAAAAGATCCAAGCAACAGCCAAACAGCGTTCGGCATCAGACGACAATAGGGAACCACAATCCCGCGTGGGCTGGAGAGACTGGTACCTCTAACACACCAAGCGCTGGGGAAAGCTGCTTCTCCGGCCACCGGCTGTTCCTGGGAATGAGGCACTGCTAGACTCAGAGTCCACTGCAATGGTGTCCCCCTGGCACGGAGAACAGGCGGGATCCATTGTCCACTTTTCCTAGCTCCCCCTGGCTTCTGTCCCGCCTTCCCCTCACGCAGCATCATGGAAGGGGGAGCCATGTTCACAAAGCAGCAACGGCCTTGGCAGCGACCCGGCGACCCAGGGGCAAGCTGAGATCCGTGATGGCCAGGACAATTTTGGGACTGGACATGGTGGACACTTTCACCAGCTCTGACACCTGCCCAGAGAGAGAGGGGAGGAGAAAAACGGATGCCTCAAGTCAGCGTTGGAGGTGCCAGTGGTCTGGAGAGAGGGCTGCAAAAGCTACCAGCATGCAGGTCACCTGAGCCAGACGGCGGGACATGAGCCAGACTAGAAAAGGGAGGTGACCCTGCTGCCAGTGGATTACGATACAGGAATCTGAGCCCAAAGACGACCTCGCTGCAACTGGAGGCAACTTATGGGGCTGCTGTTCGGTGCTAGCAAATCCGGTTCTCATAACAACAGCAACGCTTTGCCCATCTCTAGAGTCTCCCATCAGAGGATCTCAAAGCACTTTGTGCCTCACAACCCCCTGCAAGGCGGGGATTAACCCCATTGATCAGAAGGGGAAACTGAGGCACGGGAGCAGGCACGCTAGGTGCCCAAGGTCACACAACGAATCACTGGTAAAAGCTGAGAACAGAACCCAGATCTCTTGACTCCTAGTCCCAGGCTTTAAACCACAAGCCCAACTTTGCCCCAAGCGACGGGCCGGAGCTGCTGTAACAGTTTAGCCTTCGCTGTTAGGCCGAGGCCCAGGATACTGGCCGGAGACGCTGCCCCGTATAACGGGCTTCCCTGAGTCAGTTAAACGCTCGCAATCACCCAAGTCGCCCACGGTGCCGTTACTGACCCTCCACCTCCCTTAACAGCCCCTCCCCTCCATCGCGGTGAGGAATTCTAGGCCTGACTCGGCCTCTCGCTGTGCCAAGCTGTTCCAGAGGCAAGCGGCCTGCCCCCAGTTCCACGCCACAGCAGCCCCAGGCCCGGGCACTGCAAAGCGAAGCAGGTGGGTCTGCCACGTTGGGGGCTGGGTCCCAGATCTCAGCAGGGGCTGCGGAGCAGGGGCTGCGGAGCAGGAGCAGAACCAGAACTCACCATGGTGAAGGGCATGAATTGCAGGATGCTCCCGCGGCTGCCCTGCTCCAAGCAGTCCACGCACTCCTCCATGAACCACTGGACGAACTGGGTGTGCGTGCCGGCTGTCTTGGCTCCCAGGATAGAGGAGATCAGCAGGAAGAGGTTTGCTGGGGAGGAAGGGAAATGAACGGGTATTTGTAGCCTCAGGACTGGCAAAGGGCTGGGTGGTGCCTTCAACACCTGGGGTCTGGGGTCTCCTTCCAAAGGGCTGGGGTGCACCACGCTCACCCACTCGTGGGCACCAGCTGTATCAGGGCACCTGACTCTGCCGGGCTGCTCAAGAAGAGTCAGGCAGCAAAAGCAACACTGGCTCATTCAGCACCAGAAAACGTACCGACCCCCTGCGTTCGGGAGGCCAGCCAGCGCTCTGCTGCTGCCGGTGGGAAGGGATCCATGCTGCGAGCCTGCCGCGCAGGGACGCAGGCCAGGTCCATGCCGAGGGGAATCAACAGGAACAGTGACTATGAGAGCATCCAGTTCAGAAAGGCTTCTCCCTGGGGAGCCCAGACACTGCAACTGACCAGGTGCCTCACCGCACGGCAGGGGGTGGTTCCACCTTCCTCTGATGCAAAGGGAGCTGCGGGCAAGACACCCCACCTGACAGGCCAATGCCTGATCCGATCCAGCCCTATGCTCCTGTATAGCCCGTGCAAGCCTCCTTATCACGCCTGGGGAACAGCTCCCGCTCGGGACTCACCTAGGACTCTGTTGAGAGGGTCCCTCATGCTCACGGTGTGAAGCTGGGAGGCAGACAGCGAACTGCTCATCGAACGATCTGCTGTGGAGGAGAACACACCCCAGTCAGGAGGGCAGCTGGAATAACCCCACCGTGCACCTGCGCTCAACCACAGCCGCCGACGTTCCACCCCAGGGACTGCTGCCCCTTCCTAAGTTCAACCCCACAGGACCATGGAGAAAACCAAGCCAGACGCGGCCCCGTCCCTGCGGAGAGGGATGGCAGAAAACCCCTGCTGTACAGAGCCCACCTGCGGGTGTGCTTTGCTCTGCCACTTGAGGGGTCTCCCTCCACCCTCAACGAGGGGCACATAAGATGCCTTCCCCAAACCCTCAATTTTGTCTTTAATATAGTGACACTCAGACCTCAGTGGTTCAGGAGCCAAGTTAGTGATCAACATTACCCAAAAGTGCCACAGTCATGTGAATTCATTCTCCCATTTACTACAATCTTATCTCTTAATAGCGTAAGCGTAGTGCAAGTTGATAACTTGGTTAAGAACATAGTAAAAGCCTCCTGATTGTGTGATGTAATTATTAACCAATCTAAGTTATTAACCAGCGCTGCAACGAACCGCAAGAGACACATTAAAGAGCCACTTGTGGCTCTCCAGACTCGGTCGGAGAATCACTGCTCTGATACAATCAAAGCCAGAAAGGTCCCTTGAAGGTTTCCCAGCCTTTGGGGGTGTTTGGATCCAGGGCTTTGGTCCGGTCCATCAGGCAGAAAGGTGAGCTAAGAGGTTCGGAGCAAGATCCAAATGCGAGGTGTTAAGATGATCTCTGAAGACAACACACATGTGGATTTGAGTTGCCATGCTAGTCCATTGCAACACTGGGGTAGGAGAAAACTTGTTTCTGCTACCACACTCGAAACTCAGACCCACAGACACACCGTTTGCACTCATCACCTGGATTTTTATGTTGATTAGCACACTGGGGGGATTGGTTATTGCCCACTGGCTCCTATCGTTAATATTACTGTAGGTCAATCGAACGTATCACAGGGTTTTAAGCATTCTGGGATTGGACTAAAAATGCCATGGCTAATTTTTGGATGTGTCACTGTTCTTCACTGTTGCACAAGCCGAGATGCTTATGGTGCTTTCTGAAAGCCAGCGAGGCAGACAAAGCTTAACCGTGTTTATTACAAAGATGTATCCATCTTCATTTCCCCAGCAATCCACGTCTGAGTTGCTTTGAATAATGGCTCTGAACCGACACTCAGTAAAATCATGATTAACGTAAAGCAGTAGAACATGGGGGGGAGGGATAGCTCAGTGGTTTGAGCATTGGCCTGCTAAACCCAGGGTTGTGAGTTCAATCCTTGAGGGGGCCACTTAGGGGTCTGGGGCAAAAATCAGTACTTGGTCCTGCTAGTGAAGGCAAGGGGCTGGAATCGATGACCTTTCAAGGTCCCTTCCAGTTCTAGGAGATAGGATATCTCCACTAATTTATAATTTAAAAATTTCCGTAGTGCCTTTTGTGCCAAAATACTTGACAAAATTAAACTGATGCACATCTTGTTCATCACCGGCACTGAAATCAGCCAGCTCTGGGGTGGAACACGGCAGCTGTTTAACAGCCTCACGACAACACTGCATGTTACTGACCACTCACTTAAATGTCATAACCGGGGACAGGAGGGTTCATAGACACGTTGGGCTGAAAGAGACCTTGAGAGGTCATCAAGTCCAGCCGCTGGGCTGAGGCAGGACCAACTGAATCTAGACCATTCCGGACAGGCATTTGTCTAAACTGTTCTTAAAAATCTTCGGTGAGGGGGAGTCCACAGCCTCCTGCGCAAGCCTGTTCCACAGCCTCACCGCTCTGTTCTTTAGAAGGCAGAATTCTCTCAGCGGAGTTGAAGTTTGACCAAGACACCAGAGTTTAACACTGCAACTCTTGGGAAAAGTCGAGCCAACGCAGTCGGAACCTCGGGTTTACATCTCAGCCTTCTGAGATCACGCAGGACTGGACAAGTAGCTAAGGATGCCAATAAAAAGCACATTCCCATGCAAATTGCTCAAGAACTACGGATAAACTCAGGAAGCAGGATTTCCAAATCACTGCTCCATCAGAGCAAATTTTAAAAAATCCGACATGTCATGGAAAAGGGGAGAAAAAGGCACATTGAAAGGAAGAACAGGAAAGACGGTGAAATAAGGGGAAAACCACACCGAAGGTCATGCATGTATAAACAGCAACAAAACCACCAGAAACCACCGGTTTAAAGGACACGTGCTGAAAGGAAACTACTCAACAGATTGATGGGCTGGAGAATTGCAAGGACATCTCTGATTCACTTCAGGCAAATCTGAGCTAGCATACTTCTGACCTGTAACATCCTGCTATATATAAGCCAAGAGCCCAGAATGCATTTCCTGTTGGATCTGTCGCAATGATTATTCATCCATACATCAGTAACAATCCAACGTTACAGTAAAGGAGACTTGCATGGAATTCTTAAAATTAGCTTCGTTTTGCTTCTTTAACGAAGGCCGCAGCCAAGTGAAATTCCACACACGTACATTTTTACCTGAGAGGTACCAGTAATGTCAACTCCTGCCGGCACTAGTTTGGCGGTCTCTGATGCAGACAGAGAGCTCTCCTGCCCCTTACGCAAAGGGCAAAAGTGATGGAAGATTTAACAAAAAACGCCCGTGTTCCCAAGTGTGTGAGAGACGTTGGCGTTAACCAGGTGTTAAAAAGCAAGGCAGCCTTCCTAACACTCATCCTCACCCACGTCCTTCACGCCTCATAAGGAAGCAAACTGAGGCCCAGGCCCATCCTTTGCTCCTGCTTCCCACCTTTATGGCTTCAAGTCACAAAAGCCTCTTTAGTGAAGTCTCTAAACCTTCCTCGACTCCTCCTCCGTCTAATCCCCCAACTGGGGTCACAGCGCATCCCATGCCGTTGCTTACGGCTTCCTGCAATTCACCTCTAAAGATATTGCGCGGTGTCTGCTGATCACCGTTAAATAACGGCTGCGTTCCAAACAAGAGGTGGCTGCATTGCACCGCTGGGCACAGAGAACGCTGTAAACCCACTGGGTAGTCGCTCTCCGTAGAAAGCCTGAATCCACGAGGTGCTGAGCACCCTCCACGACGTCAGCGGCACAGATCACGACTAAGACGAACGCTTTGCATTGATACAGCAATTGACACATTCAAACATTAAGCGATTAACCCGTGAGGCAGGCGGGTCCGTATTAATAGCCCCAGACCAACCAGAGGCAATGAAGTGATTGGCTGAGGCCAGGTATTCTGGGTGTCAAAGGCAGGAATAGAACCAGCATCTCCTGATGCCCAGATCCCCAGCCCCCAAGCCACATTGCCTCTGGGAAGCTGGTGCCACAATTTCACTTACTAGGGCTGGACAGAACATTGGGATCCTCCTCGTTGGAACTCAGCAGGCGCATGAGCTTGGACGGCTGGGTGTCGTCCAGTGGGAACAGGCTAATGTAGTCCTGGGGAGGGGGAAAGCAGAAGATTCAGGCATGGCGGAGCTGGAGCTCACGGCGCACCCCCAGCACCTCACAGCCGCATCCCTCCCCGGGGGCAGGGCGCAGCACGACGGGATGAAATCAAGGGCAAGGCGTGTGGCCAGGTGGGGGATTTTAACACGCAGCTCGCACGGCAGCAATCAGAGGTGTGGTCCAGCGCCGTGCGGAGCGATCACCGCACACACGCGTGCGTGCGAAAACGGTCAAGAGAACAAACTTCAGCAGCCAACCCCAAAGTATCCCCGAGATGGCAGCCGTCCCTTTATTAGAAAACCAGCTCTCGAGAAAACAACCCGGCTTCCAGCGCATCCTCAGTGGCTGCTTAAGATGGGTTTGCCCAGACGTGCACTGACCACAGGATGTAGATCCATGCACCCCACACACACATACATGTACCTCTATGTCCTCTCGGTGTCTCTTCTTCTGCCTGGCCGATGCCTGGCCCTTGTTGTGGGAGGAGTAGGAGCTCAGGGCGCACCAGACAGAGAGCCTAGCGTGAGAATCACGGGAAAGGAACGCAGCGTGAACTGCAGGGGGCGGTTTCCCTGCATTCAGTATTACCTGAGCAGCACGGCAGACGGTGCTCCAGAGGATGTGGGTTCCTGCGCCCGTGGCTGGTTCATTGTTTGGGGGTAGCGTCATCCTCAGCATGAGCTTCCCAACATCGTTCCCCCCTCGCCCCCACGGCTCTACCCACTGAGCCCCACGCACACCATCCAGGAGGCTTCATGCCTCTTGCTAGCCTAGCCAGATTTGCTTAGTCATTGCTTTGAGGGAGGGAGGCAGTGTCTAGAGCAGGGGAACGGGCAGCAGGATGCCTGGGTTCTATTTCCGGGTATGCCACTGACTTGCCAGCAGAGCATGGGTCCCCCCCACCCCCCAGCTCTAAAAGCTTGCGGTACATGTCTGTCAAAGGGCCCCAAGACTGAGGCAGGCCGGGCGGTTCTCTTACTTGGCAAGGGCCTTGCCAGGCGGGTCCATCAGGGTGTGCCACTTGGAGGAATCGGTCAGCAGGCTGGGCAGGATGTGGCCGAGCAGGGATAACGTCAGCTGCTGCATGTCCAAGCAGAAGATGGCGTAGAGGAGCTCCACGGCCCGCAGCGTGTGCTCCTTGCGGGTTTCCTTCAGCAGCTCCTAGGAGGAGATGGTGGGGGACAAATCAAGGAGTGGGGAGTGGATTGGCAGCCCTGCCCCTATTGCCATGGATACGGGGATCGCTGGCGGCCATGGCAGTCACTCGTGCAAGGAACACACATTACCTGTGCTCAGCAAAAGGGAGGCAGCGTAATGTAATGGTTAGAGCAGAGGTCTGGGAATCAGAATTCCTGGGTTCTAGTCCCAGCTTGGCCGTCAACTTGCCACTTCCTCCAACCTCCCCACCACCACCACCATCTGTGCCTCAATTTCCCCATCTGTAAACCTGGCACCATTCTACATACAGCCTCCTGCCGCCCATCCCCCAGGATGTACCTTGACCAGGTTGTTGCAGAACCAGTAGACGCCCCCCATGTGCAGCAGCGTGTCGAAGATGTGAATGGAGCGACTGTCGACCCAGCCCTTCTCCAGCACCTTGGTGAACACGCCTGTCAGGACCTCCTTGATGGGCTTCTTAGGGGGCAGCAGGTTCCAGTAAGGGATGGGGTCCGTCCCCGTGGAGGGGAATCGGATCTGCGTCGCCGTCTGCTGCAGGACGTCGGCGCACATGCGCTCCAGGATGGAGCTCATTATCACCACGCTGGGAAGCGAAGAGACACACGGCGGGGGCTGAATGAGAAGGTGCCGCGCATCCACAGCCTGCTCTCTGCAGATTCCTGCTCCCTGCAACGTCCAGTTTGAGATTTAAAGCTACAAGAGGCAGGAAACTGAGCCAGGGGGGCAAACGTCCATAGCACGGCTCACCTTGTAACGGAGGGACTGGCTCCAGGACAGCTCGACTCCTCCCCTGCCACTCGAGATCTCCCTCCCCTGGAACATCCCTGGGGCAAGTAACATTTGGAAAACACTGATGCTTCTTTGCCTGCAGCAGCTGGAGGAGGAGGAGGAGGAGGAGCCAGCCCCATGCGCCCAACCAGTGCATGGTCGTTCCCTACAGTCTATTCGTCAGAGTTCTGCTCAAGCTAGTATTAGATGCCTCTAGTAACAGAGCCCCCTCCCTGCCGGAGACAAGGCCCCAGCCCCATGGGTCCTGCCTTTCCCCACGTGACCTCCCTCCTCACCGCTCGTTGTAGAACTGCAGTGTGTTCTCGCTTTGCAGGGACGTGGCCAGCTGCCGGATCATCTGCAGCGACTTGTCTCGCTCATCCAAGCCCAGCATGCGGACGTGGGCCACCAGCCAGGCCATGGTGCACACAGCCATGCTGCACACCTTCCCTTTGATGTTATCCGTGATTTTCTGAGGGCGAGACACAGGCAGACAGCTGAGGTTCTGCACCAGACACAAATGCAGCCCCGCCCCTGTTCCAAAGACACCGCTCCGTCTCGTGTCACTGGGGGGTCCTGAAGTGACAGAGCCAAATCCACCCCGGTGCAACTCCATCCGTTTCAGGGGGGTGGGTCAAGCCCCAGGGCCTTGCCCAATCCCGCTGAAGTCAGGGGAAAGCTTGGACCAGCCCCTTGGTGGCAAGTGCTGAAAGCGAACGGTCATACGCAGCGTTTCTACGGTGATCTTTCTCCCCAGACCGCAGAGCACTTGACAGAGTGGGGCGGGGTCAGCGTCGAGATCCCCCAATACAGATGGGGAAACTGAGGCACAGAGAGCAGCACCTCGCCCCAGGTCACAGGGCAGGATTTTGTGAGTCTCCCCCTACCAAAGGGCTGGATGTTTGTTAGTTTCGAGCTCTGGAGATGTAAATGCCCAGCGGGGAGAGCTCTCAGCAAAGAGCAAAATCTGGACCCCGCAATGGAGGACAAGGGAGATTTGGACTCGGTCCTAAGCGAGAGTTTACACCTGCATCCAACTTTGCTGGCATTAGACACTTGCATTGTGAAGGCTGATACCGCTGAGCGCGTACATGGTGAGCGGTGAAATTCCAAGCCTGGTTTCTTTGTTTTAGCTGAAGGCTGGTGAAAGATGCTGGATTGGCCGTTCTAGAGACCAACGTCCCTGTTTACCAAACCCTTCTGGAAACAGCCAGCCCAGGGAGGTTTGTGCCTCAGCTCTACCCCAGCGGGGGAGGACTCGCCCAAGGTGCCCGGGGACGAGGCAGCGCAGCAGCTACCTGAATCGACTCGAAGGTGAGCACTCCGTTCTCCCAGGCATTGAGGATCTCCAGGATGGCCGCCGAGATGCTCAGACATGCCTCGTGCCACTTCATTTGCCTGCCGGGAGGGGGAGGGAGAACTGGTCAGGGGCACAGGATACCTTTAAACGCTCACTCACCATGACCGCAGCAGCCCAAAGAGGCAAGTCAAGTACTGGCGGCAGCATGGGTCCCACGGGCAAGCCACACCGCTGGCCCTCCGCCGAGGCTGGGTTCTGGTAGCTGTTTGAGAGGGGAATGGGGCTGAAGCAAACTGCTCTGTTGGGAATCTGGCTCAGCCCAGGCTGGAGTATGGGTGAGAGTCGGGTCCCCCCCAACACACACACACCCGCCCCCCCCCCCACACACGGGAGCTACGTACACCAGCTTCATTTCCGAGGAGCTGTTCAGCAGAGCGACCAGTGATTCCACCTTGGTCGAGTCGGGCCGGAAGCAGGGATGATCTGGGTTGAGGATTTTCCCCTCCTCCGGCATGCAGGTCTGCATCCAGGTCTCAAAGAACGGCACCTCCCCAGTGGGGCTGGACTCGGAGAGGATCACCTGGAAAGAGGCCCCAAGCAAAGGCATCCTAAGAGAACGCGGAGCAGCCCAGCCAACACACAGCTCACAGCTGAAGCAACAGCAACACATAGTGGCCAACGTGGCTAATGTCAGGTGACTATTCCTGATAGAAAGGCAAATCCCCGTGGTTCTGGCCAGGTCCAATGAGGCGAGTTACTCTCTGCCCTCGAAGGGTCACTCTCCCAAGGGAATCTCCTTCCCTTCCTGTTATGCGGTGCACAGACTGCACATTCCACCCCAGAGGTGGCTGCATTTCAGTGACAGAGTGGAAGCAGATCCTACATCAGCCTCTAAAAAGTGCTCTTTGGAAGGCGGACACGACTGCCATCGGGACCTGGCGAATCTGTCCCGAGCAGGGATTCTTGCCCGGCCAACTCCTCAGGTGCAGAGTGGCCCCAAACCCTCCTAGGGTGCGTCCCTTGCTTCCCTACAAACCAATCACTCCAGGTCCCTGGCAGTGTTGGGGCAAGGACTTCCCCCAACACACCTGTGCACAGGAAATCCCGGCAGCGAGGAAGCCAAGGATTATCCTGGGCTTGCAGGAGCCGGGAGGTTTGCAGCAGGCTGGCCTCCTCACCTCTGGGTTGCTGGTGTGTGGAGCCTCCCCAAGGCCCCCCCAGCCCCCCAGCCCGCGTTTGGAAGCAGGGCTGTGGGAGGAGCCGACCAGGAGCAGGCTCTGCTGCAAAGCATGGAAATACCAGAACGCAGACCAGCTGCAATGCAGCCGAGTGCCGGGGACTCCAGCTGAACCCACCCACAGCACAGGGTTAAACCAAAAGAAACCTGGCTAGGGAGGAGTCACCCCCCCCCCCCAAACGGCTGTTTCACTAGCCACCCAATTCCCTTGCCCAGCTATCTGCCCCCTTCATGGGCGTGTGCGACGCGCCAAAGGACTGAACTGCTAGGCTGTAGGCACGGGGAAAGCCAGCCCAACAGGCACCAGCATCTGCACTGCCTTCCTTGGCACTGCCGCTTCACTAGCTGTATGGTACCGTCACGAGGGGCCTGTGGGAGCCCCAGATGTAAAGGGGCTGCAGTCTGCCCCCCCCCCCCAGGGCAGTTCGGCTTTTAGACTCTCCAAGGGGGAGACACGGCTGTGAATTTCCCTGTTCAGAGTACAGGAGGCTGCCTGGGCTACTGGCTAGATTGGGCACTGACACAACGGAGCGGGGTTGGATTGTGGAGTACGGCTGGCTCCCGACCTGCGGAGATCCACGAATACCTGTATGTTTCCCTACTGAGTCTACAGGAATATCACTGCGCACTTCCCTAGCCCTCTAAGACATCACAAACAGTAAGCAAGCCCCACAAGCCCCCGGAGAGAGACATTTTAGGATTACTTTAAGCAGCACCAAAATGCAGCCGCCTCTGGGGTGACACACCATTGCTGTTCAGCAGAACCCAGCCAAGCTGCACAAGGGTTTAGGATGGGAAATAATTAACAACAAAGCCAGCTGAAGTCGCAGGGTGCGTTTACTAGCAATCCTTTGTTCCTTTCTATCCCTTCCAAACATAGTGAATTAATCCTCACCACGCTCCTGAGAGGTGGGCATTAAAGACTGGGAAACTGAGGCAGAGAGCAGGGAAGTGTCTTATTCAAGGCCACAGAGCGAGTCAGTAGGACAACCAGAAACAGAACCCAGGAGTCGCAACTCGCCTGTCCTAAGCTTTATTCTCCGTAAGTTAGAAAAAGGAAGGTAGAATGGGAATTTGCCCAGGATAGAGAGGTTAACATGTTTGATAGCGGAGAGAGAGTTCCCCGGAACCACTCCTGGAGCTGCTCACTGCTAGAGCCGTCTGTATGGTATTCATACAGGCTAGGACAATGCTGCTTCCTTACCCAACTGGGGCCCTGGGGGCAAATGGGTGAGAAACAGACCCCCCAGAATCCAACAGGAACATGGGCATGGACAAGTGAAGGCGCTTGAGCCAGCGTTAGCACCTTGTTTCATGAGCATCAACAATGTTAACTGTAGTTGCACAGCGCCCCCAGGTGGGCATCTTTATATATTAATCTCTGCCTGAATATCAAAACTAAGCAGGAGGACACAGGATTCAGAGATGGGAAGAGACGTGGTGGATCCCTGAGCCCATCTCGCCAGAGGTTAATCCGGACCCAGTTCTAGGAAACAAAACAGGAGTGGGAGAGGATGGTTTTTTCCATCTCCAACTCCTGTGATGTTACAAGGTTACGCCAAACAGCCGCACTTCGTGGGTCTGACATGAGCGGCAGGGGGAGTAGGAACGTGAGAGCTGCGAAGGAACGGGCAGGTTAAGCCAAAGTTAGGAGCGGCCATTGATTTTCACAGGTTCACAGGCTTCAAAGCGAAAAGGGCTGGCTATGATCATCTGATCTGACCCCTGCAGGACACAGCCCCAGGAGCTCGGCCAGGCACCCCTGCAGCAGATGAACCATTCTGTCATGCCCAATAATGGGGGTGGCCTCAGTTTGGGGGTGCTCAGCTGGCAGCCCTTTGACCTGATTTTCACAGGTGCTGAGCACCCGCCATTCACTTCAACCGGAGTCTTGGGTGCTCAATGCTTCTGGGGAGGGGAAAAAAACCAAGCAGGCCCTTGGCTAGCAGCTGAAGTCAGCAGCCACTGACAGACGTTTGGCTGGAAGTTAATTTCATGTCTCCATTGACACGAGAGTAGAACGGGAGTCCCCACAGCTACCGGACCCAGCCACTAGAGGGACACCAAGAGTCACGGTGCATTAGGCTGGGCTATAGACGTGCTGCGTGGCCTGAGCTCACGTTATTCATTCAGGATCTCCTAGCTAGATGGCACGAGCTCAAGCTTCCTGGAGACACCAGTCCGCAGAGCTGCACGGCCGGGGGGAGCCTACCTCAGAGCCGTAGGTCTGGGCGACGTGGCACAGCATGAGGAAGGAAATGTCGAACAGCAGGGCCCTGACGGAGGCAGCTTTGGCTGTGGAGGAGAAACCAAGCTGTTACCGGAGGATCTTTCCAACCCCAGCTTGCCCAGCTCAAGGCCCCAGTGGGATGCTATGGAGGGACCCCGCACACCCCACTGCACTGGCGCATGCTGCCTCCCCTGGGGCGCCCGGCGCTCCTACTGGCAGGGAGAGCAGGGCAGTGCTCACACCGCCCAGATCTCCTGCATAGCGGCCTCACCTGAGGGCAGGGAACTTTCACTAACCCCCACCCCACATCCTAAGCCGAGAACCTGCTGCACCAAGCCTGGAGCTAAGCCTTCCCTCCAGCCAATGGAAGGTCAGAGCATTTCACAAGTTTAATCACATGCAAATATATTCAGAATCCTTATCTTGGGTCCTGTGCTCAGACATCATCCCTTCCAAAGAGGGAGGGGCTAAGGGACACTGGCAGCAGGCCAATCTTCCCCTCCCCCCTCAGGGGGAGGAAAGGGGGACTCATCTCCCCGCCCCACCCCCCAGCACAGAGCCCCCTGACCTGCGACTGAGCGGGGGACGAGCTGCGGGGGCTGCAGGGTAATGCACACGTGCTACCGGAGAGGATAAAGAACGCCAGTGAGCTCTGCACCCGGCCAGATCGATTCAATGCCCCCTTGCGCAGGCAGCCCCCGGCTGGGACAGTGCTCACTACTGTTACCCCACGGCGTTAACCCTGCCAGACCGGGGTGCCCTCTGAAAGGGCCCGGGCACGGCTCCTCCACACTCAGCAGTAAGGGGCTCTACCGTTCAAGCTGCCATGTCACACTTACAGCCTTCTCCGCTGATGTGCTTGGTAAATTCATTCAGCCTGAAGAGAGGCGGAGAAAGAAGCAATGAGGCACCATAGCCGTGTGTTCGGTCTCTGTGGCTGGTGAAACTGAAACCTCTTTCCCCCCAGAGCAGGGCAGGCTGCCCACGCACACTGCCCCCCGCCAACCCTCCATGGCAGCTCAGGCCCAGCTGGGACCCTCTCCCCAACTAGCGCCGGCCTCCCAGTTCCCACCAGCTCCTTTCTCTGCTGGCCCCATGGCGCAGGCCCCGTCCAAAGATGGAAGGGGAAGGAGACCAGACACTGGGCTGGGACTCTGTAGGTCTGGTTTCAGTTCCCAGCTCGACGCGTCCCCTCATCACTTCATCTCCTGGGGCGTCCACTGCCCAGGGTCCTTGCTCTCCCCGACCCTGCGTCTGCCTGGTCTGGTTAGCCTGGGAGTCCCTGCGTCCAGGACTGTCTCCCTGTGTCAGTGCAGCACACAGCACACCCTGATCTCGGCTGGGGCCTCTAGCCGCTGCTGCTCCACCATCAATCCTAGCCGAGGAACAGCACGTGCCACATTTGACCTGGATGCACTGAACAGGGGAATCCAGGCTAACACAGGAGATAGCACACTGCACGTGCACACCTGTTCTAAGAAGCCAGTACCCCCACATCAGCCTGACCCACTATCACGCCCCAGCTGCATTGGCTCTTTGGTTCGCACTCTCTTTTCATATGCTTGAGTGGTTTGAAGTTTTGAACACGTGCAAATGACTCCACACCCCCAGCCTGGGTTCTGCCCAAGACTGTCTGACGATATTCTTGAGAATTGTTACTGAGTCCAGGTGACAGGCAGGACTTTAACGTGTCGAAATAGGAAAAGGCCCTGCTTATGTATATTACTGTAGTGCTCGGACGCCCCACTTCGGAGTTTGCTGGGTGCTGCCAAAGCCGGCTGCGTTACTGTACCCATCGGGTGAGAGGACACAAAAACCAGATCGATCCAGCCTCGTCGTATCTCCTGCATGTTTGCGGCCACCAGCTTCCCTCGTTTTGCTCAGAGGTGGGAGGTCTGAGGCACAAACCTGCTACACGGCTGCCCCGGCACCCCGCGCCCAGCGATAACCCAACACAGACAGTCTCGCTGGAGTCACTCACTTGATGAACTTCCGAGCAAAAGATTTCAGCTTCCCCGTCGCTGCCGCAGCTGCCAACAGCAGATCCAGGCTCTTCCCAGAGAGCATGTGGCCCAAGACACCGAGTAGCCCCTCGGGGGATTTGGAGTGATCTGCATCCATGGTCTAGTGAAAAAAAGGGGGGGCGGGGAACAAAGCAGTTTTAAACAGTATTATAAAGCGGCTGAAGAACTCTGGGCACGACTGGAGCTCTCTGATTGGCTGTCGGTAACGCCATATGCAAGTCAGTCATCATCAGAAGCCACATGGTTCTGGTCTACATGAGAAAACGAGAGAGGGATCAGACCTGCCAGACAGCGCTCTAGCATTGCTCAGCCACTACCCAAGGACAGCTTAATTACCCATAATCCACCACCTGCTGCGGCTCGAGCGGGACCTGTGGAACAAAATGTACTTGCTGATTCCGAAGCTCGGGCGGCCATAACAATGCAGGGAAAGACTGCGTCCGCCTGCATGAGCTGTGTGCGTGTTATCCAGAGAGAAAGGAGCTGGGAGCAGGACGGTCACAGAGTTCTCTGCCTGCAAAGGCCTGAGTCATGCTGTTACAGCCCAATGCTTTCACATGCTGCATAAGGTCACTGCTTCCAGACGCAGTTAAAGGGATGGCTTGGCATGGGGCACAGCCCCTCTGACTCTTACCGCCACTAGAGCGGAACAGGACAGCAGTCGATCCCAATGGCGCGGCATAGGGCTGCTGGCGGCCAGCCGCCCCCAGTGAGCCTGCCTAGAGGCGCCGCCTTTCCCCCAGCACTGGGAGAGAACCTGGAGCATTACAGCCGCTCACGAGCGATCAAGCAGCGGTCTGGGACGGGGGGCACGGGGGAAGTTACCTTGAGGATGTTGGTGACAGTGGGCTCGGCTCTCAGGATGAGCCCCGGGTTGGGCTGGATGTTGGCATTCTCTGCCGATTTCAAGCGTGGCGCATGCTCCCGGTCGGCCGTCCTGGGGGGGGATATGCATGGAGACGAGGGAATCAGAGAGGAGGAGCCCCCTCTTCCCCCTGCTTTGCAAACAATGCGATCCCCCACTCCCTTCTCCAAGAGGATCAGGGTCAATACAGCCCGCGGGAATGCAGCACCCATGCCCCTCCCCACGCAGGGAGCCTGTGGCCAGCCAGACCAGCAGATCTGAGCCGAGGAGGCAGTTCCCTGGGTCGACAAGGCCCCCTTCCCTCCCAGCCCCCATAGCGTGCTCAGCAGAGCCCAGCAAAGGCCATTTTATTCAAGCTGGACACCTAGATTCTTTTAGCCCCCGTCTCACTGGCTCTTTCTTTAGGGTTTTGATGGCTGGTTAGATCCAAGCTGTCCCGTTAACTTCCTCACAGCGGAATAAAGACACTCAGAGCCCCCAGAAGTGATTCCCGGGGGGACAGGATGGCAGCAAGACCCAGCTGCTATCAATGTGCAGGAATTTCACAGGGGAACTCCCAAGGCAGCAGAGCTGGGGGCCTACCGTTTGGCGACCAGGTTGGTCATGTGGGCCTCAGACAGCAGCCCCTGCTTGCTACACTCCTGCAGGAGCAGACTGGTACAGTCACAGCTGGAATTGAGAGAGATGGAGCTAAGGGCACAAGGAATCACACACACACGCTCACTGTCCCGCGTTAGGGTGGGAGTGGGAAAGCAGCTTCAGAGAGGCCAGAGCTTTCATGCGTCTGACCAAAGCAAAGGAGACTGCATTGTGAAGTGCGGGGTCAGGACTCCGGGGTTCCAGCCCACGTTTAGGCAGACGTTGGGGGCCTAGTAACTCAGACAAGAGACGGACTCAGAACTGGGTTCTCTCTCTTTGGCGTTGTCAGGCCACTGTACCACTGGGCACGTTAGTTCTGTCAGAACGGGGCTAACAATATTTACCCACCTCACAGAGGGGCCTGCCAGCTTGTTTGTTTGTAAGGTGCCTCGGAAGCGGAGAGCGTTATGAACATGGGACTCAGCTGTTAAACACTTGCTGTAGGGAGGGGAAATGAGGCACGGGACACTTGGGGAGAGAAAAGCTGCCCTCCAGACTGTACGCCAGCCTCAGGAACAGCCAGTGGGAAACGTGCCGGCAGTGGTTCAATACCGCCTCAACGGCTAAGAGCAAAGCCAGGACGCTGGAACCAGGCACTGAAGGCTGGGCTGGGCGTTCTGCCACAGATCCAGGTGCTCAGAAACCAGGGATTAAAAGTAAAATTGGATCCAAGTTTTCTACTAGGTGTTAAGCCCAGGACACAGGCCAGTTTTACCCATTCGGGGCTGTGGGGCTCCTCCGGGAAGAGGGACGTGCTGTCCCCATGGTTCTGTGTGCAGCCCAAAGGTTCTCAAAGGAATCCAGCCATTCCCACGGCAGTGAGGAGGAGGAAAGACCCTGCACATGGCATACAACAGCCGGGCCTTTCCACATGCTTAGGCCCTTTCCCCTGGGTGCTCCGAGGTCAGGCGCAGACACAGGAGGGAGAAGGACTCACTTGCATCGCTGATCAGCTTTGTCCAGCAGAGGGGTGAGTTTCAGCAGGAACTCAAAGGCACAATTCACGTCCTCGGTGAAATCCTGCAGCCACACAAGAGGCAAGCGCTCGATCAGACCTCGCTTCACAAGGTACATAAGATTCTTTCAGCTCAAGCAACAGAGCCACTTAGAAACTTGGGCTCGATTCTTCCCCATCAGCTGAATAACTCTGCACAACTTCACACTGGTGGCCCAACAGAGTGTTGGCCGATCAGTGTGACGTTAGCAAAGGGACGGATTATCCTACGGTGCTTCCGGGACACGGGGAAGGCTGGGGGGCCAGAGTCTGCTATTCAGAGGTGCCGGCTCCCACTGCGGTCACAGCACTGCATGAACCCAACCCTCAGCACCAACGGGAGCTGCAGACGCTTGCCATGAAAGTCAGCCCCCGCCCTCCGATCGGGCATTACAAGCTGACATCCACTGCTCAGCAAGGAGAGGGGGGAGATTCTCAGGAACGGGCTGGGCTGGTGTTTTATTGTGGAGTTCCCACCCCTCGAAACAAAATCACCCACAGCGATAGTAAAAGAGCGCTGGGGTAGCGCAGTCAAGCAGGGACGACTTGTGACCACTGGCTATAAACCTTCCCCCACTGTGTGTCAGCCTAGACCAGCTATTACAGCGGGACCCCATCCTCCCATCGCACCCCTGAGGCCAGGAGGTGTCTCCTCCCCCGGTGACATCTCGGCTTTTAGCCTGTAGGCTCCTGGGGGCAGGGACTGCCCTTGGCCACATGGCCCCCGATGTTGCCGAGACTTATGGTTACGGAAACGAGGGGTCCTGCTGACCAATCAGATTGTTCCTGGTGCAAAGCTGAGCACGGGCCTATGTCTCTGAGGGAGCAAGGTCTATATTTGCACAGTGTCTAGAACAACAGGGCCCCAAACTGGCTGGGAGGGGTGAGGGTTTACACAGAGCCCCTGCTACGGCGGAGGGGGAAGGAGGACCCTGGTATGGGAGGCACACACAACCCCAGGCAGAGGGGCCGAGTTTCAGAGAGTCCCTGAAATAAAGGGAGGTAGGAGGGTGGCACTCAGGAGTTGGGGGAGGGATGCAAGGAGCCCCTGGTGTGTACAAGCTCAGACAACACAAGTTACAAAGCAGGTGACCTCCCAGGCTATTAGACCATAAACTCTTTGGGAAAGTGACTGTCCGCTACTCTGGGATCGTACAGCGCCTAGCACAATAGGGCCTCCATCTCATCTGGTCCCTGTGTACGTACACACACACACACACACACACACACACACACACACACACACGCTACTGCACTGTAAATGATCCATACTAAATACGAACAGTCACAGCAACTCACCTTCTCTCCCTGGGGATATTTCTTTAGTTTAACCAGAACCTGAGGGATCTGAAAGAAACAGTTGTTTCAAACATTCAGATCTAGCCCAAGAGATCCTGGGTGCGGAGACTCAGGCTCGTGCAGCACAACACATGGCTCCCACTCAGGAGTCATGGCAGAAGACCCCCACCCTAGAGGAACCCCCCCTAAGAGCTGCCCCACAGAACTGCCCCAGCGATCCATCTAGTCAACGCCCTGGGACCATCTGGTCCCAAGGAAGGTGGGAGGGAAGCCCCCTAGTGGACATTTATGGAATCGCCCGCACAAAAGGGAAGCGTCACAATTTCTTCCTAACCCACCTCCCCATCACTCAGAGCGGGCTGTGGAAGCAGAGATCTCTGCTTCCACAGGGCTTCGGCCCTGAAGCAGGAGCATCTGTTCATTTCCACAAGGTCCTCGATTCCCTTCACACTTGTCAGTCCCAGCAGAGATTACAGGGGACGAGATGGAGGAATATGAAGCTGTAACGTGTTGAGCTTGTTCTGGGGAATCAGTTCCTATCCCCCATCCTTTTTTTTACAGAGAGAGGACAGGAGCTGGGACAGGGGATCCAGGGCCATCTGCTGCTGTTTACATTGGGGAGGGGGGAAGAAAGAAGCTGAACACATAACCTTTCCGTCTGCCAAGGACAAAGGAGGAATGCGAAAAAGCAACAGCACCAGGGGCTTAACACAACACTTACTTCCCCCTCTGATCTAAACCAGACAGTCACTTAGCATTTCGAAGGCATTCTGCAAGCATAGCCTTCCTGGAAGGCGATCACCCCTGCTTTACAGATGGGGAAACTGAGGCGGGCAAGGCCAAAGCAACATGGCAGTGCTAAGAACAGAACCCAGGTCTCCTGGCTCTCAACCACGCGTGTTAACCACCATCCCCACATTGCACACCGGGACCAAAAGCTCCGAGGAGAAACACGTGAGGCATGGGGGGGGGGAGGAGGCAGAGAAGCTACTGAGATTTGAACCTTGGGACCATCACCACGTTGCTGAGCCAGCTCTCGGCTGACAAATAAGATCAGGGCATCTCTGCATACAGCTGGATCAAGTCAAGCCGATGTCATGTCCCACAAGGGCGCAGGTTCTCCATTAAGCCAAGACCAACCGCGCCCCACAGCCAGGAACAAAGTGAGACGAAAGCTGTTTTGCAAAACTAAAATAAGCCCGACAAATCAATGTTTGGTGGCTTGTGTAAGGGGCTGCTGCCTGGGGGCTCAGCCTCCGAGCCTGGGGTTTAACATGCTGTGTACAGCTGGGGCATGAAAAGGGTCCCCGGGGGGACGCAGTGGGATAGGAGAGAGAATTGCTGCGCCAGGTTTTGGCGCTCAGCAGGGTCCCGGAGGAGCCACGCAGTGGCACTCTGGGCTCTCGGCAGGGGCGGGATGCAGGACAAGGGGTTACCTTAAGGAAGGTGAAGGCCGTCCATTTCAGCTCCTCCGTCCCCTCCGGGGACTCGATCAGGCCCACGAAGCAGGCTTTCCAGATCTCCAGCACAAACAGCGGTGAAGGAATGCGCTACAAGTGGGATGGAACAGATCTCAGACCCAGAGAGTCTAAGGTATGCCACTCACTCCACCCCCCACCCCATACACGCACCCTACTGCGCGAGTCGTCAGCGGGGATCGAACCTGGAGCCTCTTGATTTAAAAGCAGGTGCCTCTGCTGCTTGAGCTGGAGTAACTCCGTTCACCAGAGGCACAAGCAGACTCCTACACGGACAGCCACGAGGGCAGAGATCACCCCGCCACTAATGGGGGTGACGCACAACTAGATTTGGAGGGAGTCGTACTTCCCTGCATTTCTGTGCGAGATCAGGGGCCAGCCTCAGCCTCGCCCCCTCTGGTGCAAGCCAGACACCAAGACGAGAAATGGCCTGCCAAGGCCAGACAGATTCAGCACCACAGCTGGGATTAGAGCTCACGAGGCCCGGCTTCCAGTCCCCCTAGGCCACGCTGCCTCTCTGAGTCAGGATTCACCCAGGACAGTGAGGAGACGAGCTGCTGCTCCTTCGCTGTACCTGCATCCGCTTCACCATCATCAGCTGTTCCACGAGAGGCTGGGTCTCTCCCGTGAGGTTCATGGTTCCTTCCAGCAGCACCACGGCATGCACGGTGGGGAAGCCGGTTTTGTTCAGCTGCTCGGAGTGGGCTAAGAGCATGGTGGGTATGCTGCCAAAGAAGAACAGTGGTAATTGGCAGGGGTCTCGAGTGATGGTGGGGGACACCCTACACCCACCAGAGCTGAAGGTCACTGGGTTTGAACCCTCCCCTATGCTGCTGCCACATCTGGGTCAGGACGGGCGACGGCCCTTAGACTCTTCTCTGGTTTGACAGATGAACCTTTGGGCACTGGCTAGGTCATTGGTGTTTAACACCCTGGGCGCTGGGCTTGTCCACATGGGGAAGTGAGTCCGGAATAAGGTCGGGTGAGAGTTTAAAGACTCTGGCTAGCTCCCTGCATGGACACTCTTCGTACAGAACAGAATCCACGTGGGCCTTATTCCAGAATCGCTATTCCGGCCATGTTCCCATGTAGACAAGGCCGGAGAGTTAAAGGGGGAAGGGCTGCTGAGGGGGTACCATGAATGGAGCTTCCAGCCTGCGACGCTGAGTTCCACCTAGCCCGGCATCCTACCTCCCTGCCCGCTGCCAGCTCCCAACCCCTCCATCGACTCAGGGGCAGGACAGGCGGTACAATGGGCACAGGAGACGCCTGGGAGGAGCATGAGGCTCTCCGACCTCTTGGGCTTCTTCTGGCCGGCAGCAGAGGAGCAGGGACGCAAACATGGGCGAGAGCAGAGTCCACAGGCATCAGCCGGGAGCCCTCCTGGGATGCGTCAACGGGAGCCGCCCGCTCACCCCCAATGCTGCTCCCACAGCTACCCTGGCTGTCCCAGCTGACAGGCGGAGCAGGTGCACGGGCCCACCCCCCCAACCCGTCACCCCAAGCGTCCGGAAGGCAAAGCAGTGGGGCTACCTCTTGACCAGGGAAATGCACTCGTCTGCCTGGCTGCGCAGCTGGGGGTGGCTGAGGTTGCTCAGATTCTCCCCCAGTTTGATCAGCGACTGCTCTATGGTGCTCCACGAAGCTGGAAGGAAAAGGGGGGGCGGGAAACGTAAGATTTGCAATGCGGGGATCCCAGGGAGTATCTGAGAGTCCCGGCAGGTGTGTAAAGCGGAGAGGTCCTGGCAAGGGCTGGGACTTGCCTAGGAGCTCAAGGGTGTAGGCAGCCAAGTCCCGTTGGATTTCATTGGGAACGAGGTGCCCGACTTCCACAGGCGCCTGTGGGAATCGCAGCCGAGATCTGTTCTGCCCCAGCGTCGCTCTGGGACACCGCTCGGCTTTGCGTAGCACCTCTCCAGGTGTGCTGGGGGAAGCCCTAGCGCAAGGGAGCGAGTCTGCAGCAGCCATTAGTTCCCCCAGCCTTCATGCTAAGCCGACTCCTCTTCCGGGGCGGCGGGGACCAGGGGGCAGGCAGCGCGGGTGCCATGTCAGGGAGCAGGTGGCTACAGCGATTGAGACAGCAGAGGAACGGGTGTTGGAGCGGCAGGGACAAAGAAGGCCACGGGAGCGGGAAGCAGTGATGGCAGGGCTTGGCTGAGCGGGGGAAAGGAGAGGAGGAGGGGAAGACCATCTCCCAGGGGATGGCAGCGAGAGAGACAAGGGGAGGGAAGCTCCGGAGTTCAGGTCTGGCCATGGCAGAGACACCAGCAAGACAAGACAAGGTGAGGGGGTGGGACGGACGGAGCGACACCGGTAACGGCCCAGCGACATACACGTCTCTTCCAGCTTGCCGATGTGAATCAGGGCCCGGTTTTTGGTGCTCCCCAGGATCTTCTCCAGCCGCTCCAGGCACATTTTCAGCTGGTTCTCAGCAGCCGCCTGGTCCAGCATCTCTTTGAACTTCTCCGTATAGAAGGCCGCGCAGCGCAGCATCCAGTTGAGGGCGCTCATCAGGGCCCGGCATAGGCCAATGCACTCCTCCGCTTTGCCATGGCAGCTGAGAGAGGGGGGCAGAAGAAAAGAGAAGGTTTGAATGTCTCATGAAGGGACCTTCCCCTTATTCCAGCTAGCCAGGCTCCCCCACCACTGCTGCATCCAAACACCTAACAATCCTACAGAGCGAGGTCGGCTTAACTACATCCTGCAGGGCTGTGAGAAAACCACCCCCTGTGCAACGTAGTTACACTGACCTAAGCTCTGGTGTAGACACCGCGAGGTCCATGGACGAATCCATCTGTCAACCTAGCTACCACCTCTCGGAGAGCTGGATTTACTACAGTGAGGGAAGAACCCCTTCTGTTAGTGGAGGAAGGGTCTGCACTACAGTGCCACGGGGTGCTGCTGCAGCGTTTCTAGTGTAGACAGACCCAAAGGGAGACGCTCAAGGTCACACAGGGAGCTGGGGAATTGACCCCGAGCTCTGCACCTTAACCACTGGACCATCCTCCCTCCTATTCATGTGGCTGAATTGCATCCACCTGTTGACTGTTTTTCCCTCCTCGACTCGCACAAAGCACTTTGTCACGCTTATAACCTCCAGTATGGCTGAAAAATCTCACCATCTCGGGGTGTTCCTGGCCTCTCCGGTCTTTTAATTAAAGGGATACTTTTCTAAGCCCCCAATTGAATTATCTTGCCAAAAGTGATCAGCATTGATCAGCAAACTACGGGGTGGGAGTTCTCCTTCTGGAGCACAAATCAGAGGTTTGGATCTAATTAAATGGAGGATCAAATTAACCGGGGACTGGATGAAGCGGCCAGCTTTGTATTTGGCCAGCGGCAGCTCCTTGTCAACAGTTGGTGACAAATTAATATTAATTGTTGCAATTCTGCTTCATGAAATATAAGAGCAGCTGTTTCCGCTTTCCTACCCCATCTCTTCACTCCCCTGCACAGACTAAGCTCAGCAATATCGTTGATGCCTTTAAACAGGTTTAGTTGGGTTTTTAGGTAAACTACAAGCATTCTGGGTTTGAGAGAAACGGTTTAATGCCCCGAATCATCGACAGAACATCAGCCCCTCGCTCGCTCTCTGGACACAGTCTCAGCAGCGTCACAGCAAACGCCTACGGACTAGCAAAACACAAATGCTCAAGGGTGCAAGAATGGCCAGCCATGTTCAAAGACAGAAGTACGAAGGGCTGCAACAGGGAGGTGCATTGGCAGTGCTGGGTGTGCACAGTCCGGGAGGTGCCGCAGGTGAGGACTGAGATGCATTAGCAGGGATATCATCACTCACATTGACAGTTTAAGCCTACCTCTAACTACTGGGGCTGAGGAAGAAATCTTTCCATGGACGCAGGTTACCCCAGAATGCCAGATGCAGGGTTTCTTGTACCTTCCTATAAAGCAGACACTGGCCATGGGCAGCAACAGGACACTGGCCTGGACAGGCTACTCCGGCAATTCCAATATTCCCTGTGTTTAGCGCAGCTGTGTGGGGCGTCCAGGATGGACTAGTAGGAGGGCTGCCAATCAAGGTGCACAGGCAGAGCTGAGGGAAGTGACCTGCCCAGATCCTACACTGTGACCCCACTGGCTGATGGCACGACCCCATTTGAGGGTGCGACCCACAGTTTGGGAACCGCTGTCCCACATATCCCCTACTCCTGGCTCGTCAGTGTTATCGATCTTTGCCTTTGAGGGGCATTAGAGCAACTCCTCCCACAGCGTCATCACACAGCCCTTCAGAAGAGAGCACAATGGAACAGAACAGCAGCATGGTACCTGAGCCGATCACAAAACATATCCATGATCTCCAGCAGGGACTGGACGCAGAGATCTCGGGAGAAGTCATCGAACTACAACACAGGAATACAAGGGGATTTTGAAACCAGACGCATTGAATACAGATTTCAGTTTTTAAACAGAAACATTAAAAGATAGTCTGCGTCCCACTCTGGGATAGGACAGGGCTCCCAGCCAAGAGTTTTTATTGGCAGCTAGTTCACAGCTACTCAGAAATGAAGGATGTATTAACAGGAATGGTGTAGGCAAGACGCAAAGAAATTCTACCACTCTGCTCAGCACCGATGAGACAGTTCTGGGCACCACGCTTCAAGAAAGATGTGGACAAATTGGAGAAAGTCCAGAGGCGAGCAACAAAAAATGATTAAAGGTCTAGAAAACATGACCTACGATGGAAGAGTGAAATAAATGGGTTTGTTTAGTCTGGAGAAGCAAAGACTGAAGGGAAACATGATAACAGTTTTCAAGTACGTAAAAGGGTGTTATAAAAAGGAGGGTGATAAATTGTCCTTCTCCACTAAGGACAGGACAAGAAGTACAGGGCTTAAATTGCAGCAAGGGAGGTTTAGGTTGGACATTAGGAAAAACTTCCTGTCAGGGTGGTGAAGCACTGGAACAAATTACTTAGGGAGGTTGTGGAATCTCCATCATAGGAGATTTTTAAAAACAGGTTAGAGCAGTGAATCTCAATGGTTCATCAGCCAAATTAGTGATCAACATTACCCAGAAGACCCACAATCATGTGAATTCATTGTCTCATTTACTATAGTACTATTCCGATGTAAACAGTAGGACAGGGGAAATATTTATATACATTATTCTCATAGCAAATAAGTTAATAACTTAGTGCAAGTTGATAATTTAATTGGTTAACAACACAGTAAAAGCCTCCTGATTGGTTGTTAATTAAATCACACAGTGTTTTAATATCATGTGCTGCAAAGAGCCGCAGGAGACACATGAAATAGCCACTTGCGGCTCACGAGCCTTGTCTGAGTATCACTGGGTTAGACAAACGCCCGCCAGGGATGGTCTAGAGAATACATAGTCCTGCCTCAGTACAGGGGCTTGGACTCGATGATCCATCAAGATCTTTCTAGTTCTACATTTCTATGATTCTAGGTCAATGTTTCTCAACTGGTGGGTCGCGACCTGCCGGGAGGGGATCATGAAAGGCAGTCAGGGGCCACCAAGGGTTGGAAGTTTTATTACAATCTAAAAAGCAACAGAGGGTCCTGTGGCACCTTTGAGACTAACAGAAGTACTGGGAGCATAAGCTTTCGTGGGTAAGAACCTCACTTCTTCAGTCTTGCATCTGAAGAAGTGAGGTTCTTACCCACGAAAGCTTATGCTCCCAATACTTCTGTTAGTCTTAAAGGTGCCACAGGACCCTCTGTTGCTCTGAACTTCAAGCATTTTATGTTATCTCAAAAATGCAATGATGTGGCCACTTTGCAGAATTTTAGAAAGTTAAATCTGGACTATTTAGCACAGAACAGAACAGCGCAAGAGCATTCAGTGATAGGGTGTATTGAGTTGCAATTGTTGCGGCATCTCGATCACGTCCTCAGTCATACAGGCTGTTCTGTACAGGGAGACCTTGCATTCCCAGTGAGTTTCCATGGGGGGCTCCACACCGTAGCTTGCAAAGCCCGGAAGGCCAGAGATAACGACTAATTAACGATTATATGGCACCCTTCTCCCAGAAAGATCCCAAAGCCCTTTGCAAGCTATGTAGAGTCAATTCATCTACCGACATTTGATAGCATGCACCAGTGCTATGCAACAGTTTAGGACAGGAAGCCGATGCCTTTTCCATGTGAAACATGAGGTGGAATTTTAGGTAGACAGAATGTAGTTACTCAGCACAGAGGGGGACCAGGGCACATGTAAAACAAGTAACATGGGATCTTTAGGGACACAAGTTATAGGGACGTCAGTTTTACATTTGCATTTATTATACCCTCAAGCACAAGACCTAGCTTTCCAAGGGGAACGTCCTTTAGTTTGTGAATCTTTTCTTTAGAGGCTTCTTGCAGGCAGAGACCTCCTACTGCACAGCTACAAACCAGCCTCTTCAGCAACACACACACACTCACACACACACACACATAGGGTGACCAGACAGCAAATGTGAAAAATCGGGACAGGGGGTGGGGGGTAATAGGAGCCTATATAAGAAAAAGACCCAAAAATCGGGACTGTCCCTAT